ATAACATCGATTCATCGATTTTATTGACATATTATAAAGTTGCAAAGTTTTTGAATTGAAATCGAAATACAGGAAATTCTTTCTTGCACTTTGTAAACATAGTGCTCCCGTGCAGCATGATCTTAAAATCACCGGATGTCGAATGATACTTCCCTATATTGTTGTCCACTTGATAATTTTTTATACAAATGACCATGCCCTCCTCAAAATTCCTCTCTCTAAACGCAGACAAGTTGATTGCTCGTAGCCATGCCGTAATGCGATTACCCTAAACATATACGAAAAAGAAATCAATGAAAAATAATTTGTTTTAAAAACATAAAAAATGTATATTATATATACGCGAAAATATATGTTTGACATTTCGGAAAAAAAAAAAGTAAAAATAATTTGGCTTACAATTTTATCATGTAGAACCAACTAAAGATAAGATTTGTATGTGTTGCCCAGTCTTGGAAAAACATTCGTACAATTCAAACTTTGAGCATATGTTTATTAAACTATTAACTTGTTTGATTAAGTCAAATTATGAATCATTGTTATGAATGACACACTAATTGATGATTTTTTTTTTCGCAGGTGGTTGAAAGTAAGGAACACGCTGATTCAATATTTGGAGATTTATAATTTATAATTGCATTATCGCATTATATGTAGAGATAATGTGAAAGAAATTATATCAGATCATTACATGTAGGAACAAATATGATCAGATTTATATTGCATTATAATTATAATTGCATTAAAAAAAGTTTTTTCATACAACAAAACACTTCAATTTAGGCGTAAAATCTGATTTAATTTTGGAAGAAGTTTTTTGTTGACCGATCAAAACTTTTTTTTATTAGTTTAGTAATAAGTAATAAGTAATAGAATGCATTAAATAAATAAGTAATAAGTAATTAAATAAAATTATCGATGGAAATAGCATGCATTAATTGTCATTTGACTTTTCTACTTACTACTTTTGGTAAATGAGATGACTCATTAAATGAGATGACTTTTCATCTATTTTGCTATGTATCTAGACATTAATACCAGTGTTTTAAATACCGTACCGGTGGCCATACCGGTCTACCCACCGGTACTCGGTATTACCGGTACGACCGGTAATATCGGTGGTATTACCGGACTAGCATATATAATAATATATATATTTATTTATAAAAATATATAATACCAAATAAAAAAAATAAAAAATAAATGATCATAATCATTAATTTTAACTTACCAATGAAATAAAATAAAACATTCTAACTACCAATTTAAATTTTATGTTTTTAAATTAAAAAAAAAATATTTTTTATTTTTTTTTTTTAATTTTTTTTTTCATGGCCGGTATTTTGGACCGGTTTTTCCCGGTA